TGATCTCCCGTCCAAGGAGTTCTACCGTCTGTGTAAATAATATTACGGAATTGAAGAAGAGGACAGGGCAAAACAAAGGGCTGTAGAGCCATTGATGAACGAATGAATTAGTTGTGTACTAAAGTGGTCAATAAACCCAATATCCAAACCAAAGTCCCTTCGAGAGTCACTCGTATACGTGGTATTATACGTGTATTAGTGACACTTCCTTGTATAAGCCCGTAAACTGAAGAATAACTGTACGAGATATTTGCGACAAGCCTTTACCCCTGCTACTTCCGGTTATGGCGGAAGTTGTGATAAAGTTGCTGGTGGCTTCCGCCCGTTGGTATGACAACCTTAAAAGATTCAGAACTGATGCTACGTACTTCAGGATATAATTTCTCGTAAGTCTAGAGATGATGGTGATTTGCAAAGTTGCCTCGCTATATTACTCGCTGTAAGATAAGAATTTTCATTGCAAAAAAGTGCAAAAACATGAGCTTATTTATATTATACAGTAATAATAAAGAAGTGAGGGCTGCGCCATAGCTCAAGAGGTTAGTCCCTGGCTTCACACCGCGGCTGCCCGGGTTCGATCCCCGGGTCTGATCAAGTGGGATTTGTGGTGGACAAAGTGGCGCTGGGGCAGGTTTTCTCCGAGTACTTCGGTTTCCCTGCCAACCTTCATTCCACCAATTGCTCCACATTCACCCTCACCTATCATCTGGGGCTGGTACAATAGGCCAGAAGTGGCCGCAGTACAAGGGGCTCAGTCCCACCCCACTAGTAATAAAAAAATAAAGAAGTGTCTTCTTTATTTAATTCCTATAACTTTATACATAATTATTTATTCACTCTGCAGCAATACATGCGGTGGATAACAAAGATATGAGCTGAACATCTGCTTTTAGAACTGGGTCTTAAGCAATCTCTTGACTATAAACTTATTCTTACACCTGAGAGTTTCAAAACTGAATTTAAAACCTAATATATTCCCCATTTATGTCACCCTCAAAACACTTCAGTCAGCGGAACGCTACAGTTCACTGCAATTTAATGTGCTGCCGAGGGATACCCCAGGGAGGATCACATGCTACTTATAGCTAGTATGTCAAACTTTCAGGGCTTCATGTATTTATTTTACATAACATAAACTTCTTGAAAACCTTCAGGAAGTTGCCCAGATAACGCTTTGTTAGTGAAAAGAGGTTCTGAAAAGTCTACATTTTATATCAAGTTTTGTATTTTGCGCTGTAATTCTTCTTCGTCAGATCAGGTATATTCTTCCTCATTTTTACAATTTCCGCTAATGAATCTGCGTCTCTAACAATTTCACAAACATATGATCCTTCCCTTTAACTGCTGCCAGTCTAATTAAGACAGCAGTGCTCCCACGCATGTGGCTCTAAGAACTCAGATTGCCCGAAACGTCACCCTACACCAGCTACTTTGTACAAAGTGAAACGTGAATATCATTGCGTTGTGGTTATATTTTAAATTAAATTTCCTGTCCATTGCATAGAAACAGACATGTGGAAGAAAGTTGTTTTATTGTCCTCTTTACACTTTTTTCTCTCCTCTTGCTCCCACTTTGGAGCTTCGGGCTGACTTCTCAGTTTCATGATCATTTTACAGACAGTAGGACTCCCTGGACGGGTGATCAGCTCGTCGCAAGGCCTCTACTTAAACATAGGACAACACAAATACAGAATAAACGCATACATATACCAAATATACGTGCCTTTTGTGGGATTCGAACCCACCATCCCGACTACCAAGGGAACGAAGACAGTACATGCCTTAGACCGCTCGGCTACTGTGCCCCGCATCTAGTGTACACAGTGTGGCAATTATGTTCACGAACTGACGCTATTACAACAATACTACTAATGTCATCTATCGGGGACGAATTAGACTAGTCAGAGAGAACGCTTATTTATGTGATGTGCAAGTTTCAACTTGCCTAGTTGATATATATGAGGATTACAATTGTTTGGGTTAAGTTTTTTTCTTTTAATTCGCTTAGTGGGGGTTGGAGTCCAACTAGGTCCACCCGGCACGGCGGCCACTGATTGGCCTATTGTAGCCTGCTCTGGGTGGTTATGATGATGGAGAATTTGATGGAATGAAGATTGGCAGGGGAAACCGAAGTACTCGGAGAAAACCCGTCCCAGCGCCACGTTGTACACCACAAATACCACTTGACCAGACCCGGGATCGAACCCAGGCCGCCGTGGTGGGAAGGCAGCGACTAACCGCTGGAGCTATGGCGCGGCCTTGGGTGAAGTTAGTTTTTTCGTCGTGTAAACACTAATAATGCAAATGGGTTTTCACCTCGTGGCAGTGGTACTAAATAAGACAACAGACAAATAACACACATTTACAGTCCTTTGTTCGAACCTGTAGGCCTACAGTGGTGCATTTTGGAAAGATCGGTTACGACACTAAGCAACGGATCGGAAAAATCTGCGTAGTCATCCTGAAGCGTTTTCAGTCTTATACTGCAGCGCCGCCACTCTCTGTTATTGACGGCCAGAGAGAAGAATGGGCTCTTCTCTCGTACTCAAGCAATATATGACCACAGAGCAGTGCCTTGCATTTTGCTTCTCTTACTTCTACCAATTGGCAGCATGGAGCAGAATTGTACTTTTGCAGGGAGCATCATTTTATTGAGGGAGTAAGTGAGTCTCCCAGCGAGCCAAAAAATATCCTAAATTGTTTGGGACTTTTAAGACTCATTAAGTTGTGCACAAAGCATATCACTATTTCCTGTTTAGAAACAGATTATTCTACATTTTCAGTTGACCTAATCCTTCCAGCCGCACTAGGCCCTGAGGTTTACTCAGCCTCTAACAGAAATGAGTACCTATAACCCTGGGGTCCACTCAATCTCTAATAGAAATGAGTGCCAGGAATATTCTTGGAATGCTCTTGGGGGTAAAAGGCGGCCGGCGCTTAGGGCTGACAACCTTCCCGCCATCTATGAGCCGACTGTCTAGAAAATGTGGGAATCTCGACGTATCACAACCCTATGGGCCTCTACGGCCTGATACATGGATACCTTTACTGTTTTAATGCTATTTTTAGCCGANCCTATGGGCCTCTACGGCCTGTTACAGGGAAACCTTTACTGTTTTAATGCTATTTTTAGCCGATCACAGCGGCCGCGCGGTCTAAGTCATGAACTGCCTTCGTTCGCTAGGAAGCTTGGATAGTCACTTTGAAACCCACGTGTATGTATCCACTTATTCTGTGTTTGTGTTATCCTGTATTTAGGTAAAGGCCTTGCGACGGGCTGATCACTCGTCCAAAGAGTCCTATCTTGTGTGAAAAATGATTACGGAACTGAATAAGATGCTTGGACCCAGAATGGGCTGGAAGAGACGTTGAAGAAAAGAATGTTATTTGGATAAGTACAAAGAATGAAAACTCCCCGATATGTAATATTATCTATTTTCTTTGTTACTTCCTCTCTCTTAGGTTTGTATGTTCTCCCGAGTGCTGTGTTCCAAAACACCACCAATTTCACATAAAATATATTTCTTTCTCAAAACTCTGTGAATGATAGATACCAGAAATTTCGACACAATCGCCATATTTAAAACAAGCTAGACGTTGTGTCGTTAATCATGCCGTTGTCTTGTGAATGCCAACATAATATTATATTTACCATGGTCGACAGATCTCGTCTGCTGCATTAACAAATTAAGCGTATCTCCATGTTAGAAAGCTGGATCCTACACCTCTCTACCGAAATTCATATTGCAGCAGTGCGGTATGTTTTCTCTAAAATGTATGACTACCTTCGGGTCTGAAAGAGATTGATGAACGCTTTCTATGACGAAAATTGAAAATGAATGTGCATACTTAGTTAAAACTTTCACTGTATTCATAGCCACGACGCACCACGAACATGGCACATCAGCCTTTAATGTTAGAAGGACTTTAGTCTATTTAAATGTTGATAATCTTTAGTCGCGCTGCATAATCACAAATAATTCTCATTCTTTAACAGCGCAACGACAGAGTAATACTTCGTTGTGGTTGTAGTAGCTTTAATTAAGTAATTCGGTCTGTATATATTTTGCCTATNCTAACCGCTTGAGCTACGGCGCGGCCAAACTATTAAGGTTAAACATAAATCTAGGATTATTTTTCCTTTGGCGCTACAGCCCCAATTTGGGTTTTGGCCTCCCTCCATCAAACTCTCAATTTCACTTAGTTTTACTAAATATTTGACATTTAATAGGACCCCTTGGGCCAGTCATAAGCTTGTATACAAACACAGAAAAACGCACATACACACGCAAGCACCAAACATCCATGTCATGAGTGGGATTCGAACCCACGATCCAGTCTTTTGAGCGAGCGAAGACAGTGTATGTCTTGGACCGCTCGGCTTCCATGACCGGTAATCTAGGATATAAATATATATACTGCCACAGTCAATAAGTTCGTGGAATGGTCGCAAAGTGTCGTACGGGAATTTACTGCCAATAGGTTCCAGCAATGTTTTTATATCAACGTTGGCAGACTTGCATAGCGGCCAACGGCAACTATTCTGAGGGCCGATGTGGATCTGCATAAGTGTATGTGAATACCTTGTAATATGATGCCATAAAACCACATTCCACGAACTTGATGACTCTACCGCGTGTTTTGTATGAACTGAATACTAAAATAGTGTTCAGGATTTTGCAGTACGGGAGCATATTTATTACGCTGACAGAATATAGACCTACCCTCAACTTAATGGTGATGTACAGAGCTACCGGAGCCATAATCCGATGTTGTAAGCTGAAGAAACCGTTGGCCAAATGAAACCAGAACTTGTCAACAAACGGGTTCGCTGCGTTAATATAAAATATACATTAATATATAACGAAGAGTCGTGATCGAAAATTATAGGTCGAAATAAGCTGTTAATACGCGTAGCAAGAACTGAGGCTAAATTTTTAACATCCAAATGTTCACGTGTACAAAAACATATGATTTTAATGATATGCTTATTTTTATAGCACCGGACTTGAAAGTCGTGGATGAACACGGTCATTCAGTGCACGACCGCTACTACAAGACTGGCAGCACTGTGGAACTCACATGTCGTGTCATGTCATCTACTGAACACACAACTTCACCTCAAATAACGTGGAGAAAAGACGGAAGTAAACTTCCAGATAAGGTCACCATATCGCCTGTGAGGTAAGCCCATCGCCCACGACTCGTAACATGATTGTACATTGCTCCTCTTGTTAAGTGAGAGTAATATGAAAACAGAGATAATTAAATTGTGTTGTGACCCTAAATTTGGAATCTTCCCTTACTTATTTTCGTCCAGATTTATTTAGAACCATTTTAAGTATAGCCGGTCACGGTAGCCGAGGGTTCTAAGGTATGTCTTCGCTCTCTCGGAAGCCCGGATCGTGCGTTCGAATCCCACACAAGGCATGAATGTTTCGTGTGTGTATGCGTTTATTCTGTGTTTGTGTTGTCCTGTGTTAGGTAGAGGCCTTGCGACGAGCTGATCACCCGTCCAAGGAGTCCTACCGTCTGTAAAATGATCATGAAACTGGAAATCAGCCCTGTGCTCCTAAGTGGGAGCGAGAGGAGAGAAACAAATTTAATATTTCAATAACACAGCGTCGGCTCCTTTTGATTGTTGACGTCACTAAATCTGTGTGTGATTGGAATGGAGTACAGCACGCATGGACGAAACAAGTGATGCTCTCAAGAATGTATTTTAGAATTTACTGAGCAGAAACCTCTAGGTAACACAGGTTTTTTGTGTTCGGAACATGCTTAGTTCGATTCTTGGCTGATAGATTTTTTTACCCTGATTTTGGGTTTCTTTAATATCCTATTAGTATGGGCAGCGTCTTGCAGTTAATCACGACCATTACATTTTCCACTCTTCTGAATTTGTATTTCATAATAATTCCTCTATTTCGAGCTGCATGATTTGTTCAACTGAAGCAAATCTAAATAAGCCCCTCGCCCAAAAAAGGGTCTTGTTTAAAGAAAAGAGAGACTATTTGAGATATCTTAGATTTTAATCCGTTTGTGAATTTTTCATTTGAAATTACGCCTGGAATATAAAGCCTAGTTTCTCTGATAAATGTCAGGCTTTTTATGCTTTTCTCGCTGTGTGTGCACGTTTTTGTAGCGACAGAAAGAGTGGTCGCAAAGGCTGGACCTTTCAGTCCCAAAAGAAAAGAGTAGCATGTCAACTTGTCACTGCGTAGTCGAGCTGTAGGCTCTCATACCTCCTCATAATACTGGCTGGAACGGTGCTATGAGGGGGGGCGCCCAGCAGCAGCTTACATAGAGATGATGGATCAGGAAGTGCTGACATCTAACAGAGTCACGAGACTTCAGTTTCCTGGTCAGTGAACGCCGTTCCTTTTTTCTTCGTTCTAGTCTACTTATATCCGCTATCTGACTTTTCGCAGGTACTTAACTGGCGATTAGAAAGATCATGTTCAAACAAAATCCAAGATATTCATGTAAAAACAAAAAGGATTTGAGGTTCTGACAGCGGTGGTTATGAAAATTTCTATCTTCTGGGATATGACTCCGTTCAGTCTGTTGAAAGTTAACCAATGTTTCGGAGGAAGATGTCGCTTCCATCTTCTGGGCTTCAGAATAAACTAAAAATGAAAAAAGCTTGGAAGCAAGTTATTCTTATCCTTATATTTCAACCCTGAAAATGGAGGCGACATGTTCCTCCGAAATTCGGTTGGCTTTCAACAGACTTCACGGCTTATCCAAGTTGATAGGACTCGTTCATGTCGTGTTTACTGGTCTCTCTCCTCAGCCGGATCAACCCAGTCCATACCATTCCATTCTAATTCTCTAAGATCCATCTTAATATTATCATCCCACCTAAGTCTAGGTCTTTGTATTAGTAGGTCTATGCACCATTTTTATCACCACTCAAAACAGAATAAAGTCCAAGAAGGAACACAACAAATCAAGCTTGTATTTTTTGTATCCCTTATCTTGTTCACTGTTGCAATATTCATTTTAAAGTGAATAAGAACCGTGTTCTTCCTTGATAACCCACCATTAAAGTACTACAAATTCTGTTGTCTTAAATTGTGGCATAGACAAGTTCGTTCCCACTTTATATAATTTAATATGTAGTATGAAAGGAAACAACGCATACAGTTTGACGTTGTTTTTAAACTGTGTCACACTTGCTCACATCTTGCGTTTAAACTTGGACGAAACCTTGTATATATTAACAACAACAGTTCTATCAGTCTGAAAACAATAGGCACTTTCGTCCTTGTCTGACCACAATACAACTTCGCCTTCCTCCCCGTGACTTACATGCAACAACAAAGGAAAACGCGACGGATGTTTTGGGACCTCTGACGCCTATTGTGTCAAGTTAGCGTCACGAGGAATTTCGCGTGTCTTAGAACAGCTGAAACAGCAATTTTCTGCATTTACAGCGCTTCGAACATTCCTGAACGATTTACCTCAAACATTCATATACCTGACTTTATTATATGATTCAGCTGTCGGATACGTGTCTATGGTAATCTGAAGCTTCTACATGGGATAAAGAAAAACTTCTCTACAAATTCGTAAATGAAACTGCCTGTGGTCTCGCTTTAAATAAAGGTAAAGGCAAAGTTGTCCCTGTGTTTAACTACTTAAGCACTATGCCATGGAGGCGTATGGGGGAGTGGATGTATAGATTATATTTTCTTGAACTCGGCACTGGTTGGAGGTGAGTGGTCAGCTTCACTCCCCTGGCCGCTTTATCTCCAGGGAAGGAGTCCCCGGTATCCATTGAGTAGGGGGTTGCGTGGGCTCCAGAGCCGGTCTGGACGACGTGGAGATCAGAAAATTCTTGCCCCAACCGAGACTCGAACTCCGACCCCCAGGTCGTTTAGTCCATAGCCAGTCGCTATACCGACCGTGCTATTCCAGCTCCCAAATAAGGATAAAATACGAAAAATATTTTAAATGTAAAGAATTGTAATTTTAGGTGCTGAAAAACTTGGGCTCAAAGTGTAATGTCTGGTCCTGAAGGAAAATCAGACAGAACACGCGGCTGAGGAGAATACTGGGGTCTAAGACGACAGGAAATAAACGAAGCTCGAGGAAACAGCATAATGAGGAATACCAAAATTTGCAATGTTTAACAAATATTATTATGCCGATCAAATACAGGAGGATGATAAGGATGGGGTATGTAGCACACTTGGGAGAGATGAGAACTGCAAATAAAATTTTGATCGGGAAACGTACAGTGAAGATACATCTCTGTTACAAATCCAAGCGTCAGGTATAATTCATGAGACTCAGGATGCAGACCGGTAGAAGTGGGTTGTGAACATTGCAATGAACTCTCCGGTTCAGTACGGTGAGGGGAACTTCTTAACTAGCGGAATGTCTACTCTCAAGAAGGAATTCCTTGTGCAATACAGACAACATAGTGTTTCATGTTGTAGCGTGGACAGCCGTTGCTATGCAATGACAGCGAAATTGGCTCGATACACACTTTTCCTTTGCTAGGCAGCTGCAACATTTTGACTACAACAATGAAAACGGTAGTGTTTCCTGTGTGGTACGTGCCGAGGAGTTATACTGAAGACAACTGGGGCGACCCAGTTAAACCGGTGTGTAGACGGGGTCCAGTATCTCCACCGTGACCCTAAGAGTCGTAGGAAGCGATGAAAAGGGAAGTCTCATATCTGAGACAGTAAAATATGGTCGCGAGTCCCAAGAGACTCGGACCCGAGAAAGGTTGCGTTGGGTAGGGCTAGCAGCATATACAAAAGGCCGACACGTCCTCTCGTCAGAAAGGACGCCCCACAAAAGCAAGACCGTAACTGTCAAACAGTAATATATATCTGGTCATGATCCCCAGATGGGGCCCGACACCAAGACTTACTGACTGACTAACTGACTGATCGTCAGTGGCAATGTGACTTTGACTTTGAACCAGTTAGTTTAGACTAGAATTCTGCAAGGGAGGCTGAGAAGGGATAGCGCTATGATTAAGTAGACAGTTCAGTTGCCTAGTGTTAAGCAGCGGGCAACGGCGTGAGCACAGAAGCTGACGAATCTATATTGTTAAGGGCTGTTGCCAAGTAACGACTAGTGAAGGCACTGCAGGCTGGAGAAGACTCAGCGTGTAAGGATTTGTAGTGTGGACCTCAGCGACAGCATTGGAAGTGCTTGTAGTTCCGACTCGTGTGTGTGAGTGGTCAGTAAATCGAGTCACCAATCCATACCCCGTCTATAGTCACGCACCACTAAATCGGGTCAATATATTTCTGCCTAACATGCCATCCATATTGGATGTGGATCAAATCTGCAGGTTTCTGAAATCAATGAAAGAGGCTTAAAATAATACGAAATATTTTTATCTTCAGTTCGATCTGTATAAGAGAATTTGTAGTAATTGCGGATTTAGGAATATGATCTTTTGATCTCCTTAACCGTGGCGAAGGATTAACATTAAACGTGTATTAATAAGTATATCCAAAAATACTTTTAATTTAACCGTTTCCTTCTATGTCCTTCCTCTTCCATTATTAACAGCAATTATAATATTAGTAGATAAGCACTCATTAAGACCGAGAGAATGAATGAGCACTAAGAGAGTTTAATTTCTGTGTTGGCAGTGAGGCAAAGGAGGGCACCACTGTGAGCCGTTTGGTGATCCCCAGAGCTGCGAAGAGCGACAGTGGCATGTACAGCTGTTCACTGTCCAAGCACTCGTCTGTTCTGGTACACGTGCACATTCTGAACGGTAATTTGCTATTACTATGTGGGTCAAGTTCATGACCGTGTTAAATTGCATTTACTGCAACAATTTTCGATACTTGCAGTGTTGGAAACATGAACACAGGCGATATTTTGGAAGATTAGTGTACATTATTTGAAATATGACTAATATAGACGATCCAATGTCAAACGGGAGCGCGGTGATGTAGTTGGTTGAGGCACTATGCTATAAGCCGGAATTTCCCAGGTACGATTCTTGATGAAGTCATAGGATTTTTCAATGACCTAATCCTTCCAGCCGCACTATGGCCCTGTGGTCGACTTAGCGTCTAACAGAAACCAGTACCAGGAATCTTACTGGGGGGGTTAAAGGGCGTTCGGTCGGCATGTAAGGCTGACATCACCACCGCCATCTGTGAGCCGATTGTCTAGAAAATGTTGGAACCTCGACCTCTCACAACCATATGGGCCTTCACTGCCTGTTACAGGGATAGCTTTACCTTTATCTTTAGGCTGTGTTAAATGCAATAGATCTGAAAAATTGTTTTCCATGCCCACAGGCGAAAAGCAGGCAGCAGTGCAACATGATACGTGGGGGAGCACGGGCTGTGAGCAGACATCAAGTTACCTACTGATCCTAGTGCTTGTCTTCGTTACGAATTTCATGACGTCACATCGCTGATGTTCTGCAATGCTGTAACAATGGCCGCACCACTGGTTGATCAACTTCAAGTCTGACAAGCCAAAGCAATGAATTGTCTGCTTGCTTCAGTAGACGTGACATGTTTATATAAAAACATTTGAAGGGAAGTTACAGTTTTATGGATTGTGTAGTTGTATAAGATAATGTAGAACTCTCTTGTTTTATACAGCCATGAAATTTCACTTTTTAAAAGAAAATATATAGCAGACAATGGATATACGTGGATACTTGTCGTGGTACGGGAGCTGTGGTTCGCTTCTTACAGTGTTAAACACATGATTAATTACAACTGGCTCTAGAAGCGAGTTATAAATATAACATAACTTTATACCTGCGTAATATAATAACGGAGAAAAAATACATTTACTTCATAATGTAAAGGTGGAAACTTGGAAGTAATTCATATGACTTTCTAATGTTCTGTTATATGTCATTAGAGATATTTAAATTCAATCCAAACAAGTCTGAAGTAACAAAACTTGTACTTAACTTACAACATTACTTAATTTCTACTTCTGTTTTCTTATGGCAGTCAATAAAGAAAGCGGAATTAGTATAAATGATTGGGCCACACAATATTTTAAGTTTTCCCAAGTAGAAATATACTATCTAATACAAGTTATAATAAAGAGAAATATCTGATGTTCTTACTTAGCAATTCCCACAGAACATTCTGTAATTATATAAATTTCATGTTGGCATTTGCACAATCTAAATTGAATTGCCTCTAATACGAAAAAATATTTTATAATAACTGTTAAAACATAAAATTTCCATTATTATTTAGATATTTATATTTATATGTTTTAAATCGAATAATATAACGAGAATTTGAAGGAAAGACTTCATAATTCATAAATAAGGAAATCAAATGGTGCTCATTACAGTTGATTTAGTACGTACAAGCCATTCAGTGCTTAACTAACCTTACGTCTTTTATTGCTACGAAGGAGCGAAGATATGTTAAGAAGAGAAAATATAAATTTTCATATAAATACCACTTTCTTTTATTCTAATATATAATTTATTGGGAGGAGCAGTCAGTAATTACGTCACATAAACGCATATCGCTTTACTCGAACGGACTACCAACTTCTTATAAACTAACTTCTCGGAGCTGAACCCTTCTTGAAAAGCCACTGGTTTTGCAGCTATTCAAGAACTTTCCAAAATTTTACGGAGCCCGAATATTCATTATCGTCATCACAAGGGCCCTTCACTGGTCCCTATTCTGAGCTAGATTAATCCAGTCCATACCACCCCATTCTACCTCTCTAAGATGCTTTTTAATATTATACATCTACCTAAATTAAAGTCTTCTCAGTGGTCTCTTTCCTTCTGGCTTTCCCACCAATATCTTATATGCATTTCTCTTTTCCCCATTCGTGCTACATGCCCTGCCAAACTTATCCTCATTGACCGTCTTTTTCCGCCATCTTTGAGCCGATTGTCTAGATAATGTGGGAGCCTCGATGTCTCACAACCCTATGGGCCTTCATGGCCTGTCACAGGGATGGCTTTATTTTTACTTTTACCATCGTTTTTATAAATGTGCCACAATTAATAACAAACAGAAGAAACAACTCACTTCAGTGGAACAGGATCCTTCTTAAGAAGCTTACAGTTGGCAACCAGGTCAAGAAATTTCAGTCTCTCAGGGAACCAAAGTGTTCGTTACTTTGTTCAGAATTACCGCAGACAGATAAATGCAGGCCTTACTCGGATACACTTTCCACTTTCTGTCTGTTTACGAATCTTCAGGGTTTCAGAGTAGATTTGTAAAAAGGACACATGACCCTCCCTTTCATTCAAATTCTTCCTATATGTAGCGATGCCAGCAAATTTTCTTAATAATAATAATAATAATAATACATGGAATATTCCGATTTGTAATTGAAAATCTGCAATTATAATCGTAAAATTTTAAATATCGATAGAACATTAATTATTAAGTACGCCGTCTTCTGGGATGTGACGCCGTGTACATCCTGCGTGATCCGACATTTCGGAGGAATATATCGACTCGTTCTTCAGAGTAGAAAAATCCGCGAGCGAGGAACCAGCATGAGCAGGTGACTGCAGTCTGTAGCCTGCAGTCTCTTTGTAGGTATAAATATTTAAATTCTCAGGCCATTTTAAGGTACTCAGAAATCCTTATTGTGGTCCTCCATAATTCAGTTTACGTAACTATATACGAGTTTTGTGTAAAAATGCTCAAGGTATGAGCCTCCTCCTCTTTCTATATACAAGACATAAGGACGTAAGGGAAAGACATTTATGTCTCTATCAAGATAAGCTTTAATATCGACTGGTTTTGAATCTGAGAAATATAATGTTCTTGCAATTGCTCAGGTTCGCCACAATTATATTTCTCTCTGCAGTAAGTGAACATAAAAAAAATTAAGGATTAAAATTGAAAATAAATGCATTTTAAATTTCAATCTACCGAAAATTCTAGCAGATTTCCACTCCTGTTATTTAAAATTTCTTGTGCGTACGCTATAAGGGCGAAAGAACTGTAGATGATTGAGACTGGATGNTTCTTCATAGTCACCGCCGTGAAAGGCTCAAATCTTACATGGATGTATATTGTTCATCACATATTACCAGGACGAACTGAGGAAACTAGCGGAAACATCACACAAGACAGCCGGCAATATGCAAGACTGAGTCCATAATTTTGACGAAAATAACTTACATAAACACGGAGCACAAATCGATATTTAGGTATATAGAAAAAATGTGTTCAGCAGCCCACCTCATTCAATGTGGTTACAAAGAAAAAAATGAAAAATGTACAAAAAAAAAAAAAGAAGAAAATTCTTATTATAGAATTCTGAATAGATGCCAGTTAATTTGTCAAAATACGTTTTCTTTACAGAACTTGATGTTTACATCGATTTGTATTACAGTTACCACTGTACATAAACAATTAAATTCATTACAAATGATTTCCCAATCCAAAATATAAATTTAATAGTATAATTTTTCGAATATTTTGTTCTTCGTTCGACTCACCAAGTTGAAAGTTATCTCCTAATACTAATATTAAGAAATGCCTCATAACTATGCTATTGCTGACCATACTATCACGTGTTTATGGCTCCGTGACTAATAATAACGGGTCCATAATTTGATGATTGGATTTACTAACACCTTCTACAATCTCTTAATCACAATCAATATTAGCGCTACCGCTAATCTACCCATTTTACAAATCACTAGAACAAGCCCCATTCTCGTCCTCGTACTCCTTGTACTCTTCTGTACTCCTTTCTGTGTCTTTTTATGATTCCTCGGCACGGACCCCACAGAAGACATCATCTTCTGTTATCAGGAATGCGTGTTTATTGATTCGTTACCTATCAACGGATGTCCTAGTGTTGAGAACGTAACTACGGGAATGTGTTTACGAATCCGTTGCCTAGCAATGATCATATGCATCACAATATGAGAAGTAATTAGTGACTGGTCTTCCTAGACGAAATACTGTAACTGTGTAACTAGATGATAAGTTGTGTTCAAGAAACAAGATAAGTAAAACTGTATACAAATTGATAACCATAATAATCAACAATCTACTGTCTAGTGATTGGTTCCTTGAAGCTTATAATCATACGAATACTGTTAAAAAGAGCCTGTTCCCACTTCATAGGAAAGGCAAAGACATAAAAATCTGAGAATTGTGTGAATTGCATTAGCACATTCTGTGGGTACATTTCTGGGCTATTCTAAAGGGTTCTGATAATCTCGTATAATACTCAGAATTTCTGGGTTTTCGAACTCTGTCAATCGTCCGGTATTCTAGAAACTAGGAAACACCAACGTTTCGGAAACCGGATGTGTTTCAGTCCTCACGTGAGGAGGGAAATACCTACTATGTTGGGTACCTCAGAAAGTGATTGAGGTTAGCTCTTTCTAAGGGACCCAACAGAGGAGGTGTCTTCCCCACCCCCATCTGAGAGCAGAAAGTGTTCCAGTTCCTTAAACGTTGTATTTTCTAGTTTCTAGAATAAAGAGCAATGGACGAAGTCCAAAAACCCAGTAATTCTGGACAATAACGATTTACTTTGAAGGGTTAAATACGGCACAAGTCAACTTGAAATCTCCGAAAAAGTGGTAAATATTTCTACACAATATATTTGATGTGCTCTCAGAAATGCTTTTATTATATGTAGTATATAATATGTTAGTATACGTAATGTTTGGGATAAAAAGAACTTATTCTACACAGCTGTATGAATCTTTTGAAATAAATTGTATATATATATATAGATTTCAAATTTATAAGAAACACACTTAAATGAAGACTAAAGGTCCTTTTGAATATATGCTACATGTGGCAAACAAGAGTATATCTTGCTATTATAAAATCTGTGTATTCTTGTAATGAAGAGCTACAGACTGGAGGGAACCGAATGGATAATAAATAACTCACATGTCAAGAAATGTTAATTTCATTAATAATTTTCATACTAAACTTATAGAAATAAGTTATTTTATATTTTCTTCATATCATATGCTCGTACTTGAATATGTCTCTACTTTGAATAAAATAAAATAATCCAAGAATAAACAGAGGAAACAGAAATTTTCGTGGCAAAGAGATAAACTACTAAGGGTTCGGCCACACAGAGCGCTACGCTATGTTCGCTACGTACGCTACGTACGCTGTGTACACTCTGCGACGCAGCTAACATAGGGAACATAGCGTAGCGTACGGAAGTCTGTGTGGCCAGTCACATTGGCAATAAAGGGAGATATTTTTCTGTTCGTATAGCAAACATAGCGTACGTAGCGTGCGTCGCGTACGTAGCGCTCTGTGTGGCCGAACCTTAATCCGCGGCATACAAATGAATCACTGCTTACAGGACAGAAGCAGTAACAGCAAGTGTACAGAGGTGAATTATGTGTCAAGAACACACAGTTTTATCTTGAAGAAATGTGAACCTCCATATGCACGCAACTTCATAACCTTTCATGTGTCCGACTTACGGAATCGAAGTACACAAAAAAGGCCTACAAAATGGAGTTGATTAACGAATATAACAGAGTAAGATTTGAGGTTTTCACGGCGGTGACTATGAAGAAAGCAGTCTTCTGGGATGTGGCATCGTATAGATGTGGTGTTAACTGACTTTTCGGAAGAACGTATCGCCTCCCTCTTCAGGGTAGAAGGAAAAATAAGAAAATCCGCAAGCGAAGAGACCGTGAGAGCCGGTACAAGCTCTGTATAGCTAAAATTCTGCAATGCCGGAAACACAAAAGCGTCAAAGGGCGCTATGTACAGTACATTATGTTGCTTGCTTATTTCCATAATTGAAAACCGATCGGATTTTTGTAAATTAACCTTCTTGAGAAGCCGCCAGTTGTGCAGCTACTCAAGAACTTCCGCCGTTCTTGACCTCTGCACTAGCTGAAGCTGAGTCTTCGGCTTCATGATTCGTCTGCTTTATCCCCGGGGAAATTGTCTATGGTGCCAGTTTAATAGGAGGCTAGATAGACGCCAGAGTGAGTCTGGAAGGGGTGGAGAAGAGAAAATTTCTCTGCCCCTGCTGGGAATAGAACCACAGCCATTCAGCTTGTTGCCCGTCACTATACTGGCAGAGTTATCTCGAATTCTCTCTGTTACCAGTTTTCTTAATGAAGTTAAGGAGCATCATCCAAACCACTTGGGAATTATTCTACTATCAACTATCTACCTACCTATCTACCCACCCACCTACCCACATACCTACCTACCTACTTACAAATCTATCCTCCTATGGCTCCACAGCCATTGTGGAACTTGGTCTCTTTTTTCAGTTTCTTAATCCTATACACAGTCGGAGTGACTCCTTGGATGAGGGATCAGCCCTTCGCAAAGCCTCTACCTAAACACAGAATAAACGCACACACACAGAGCTATGCCTCGAGTAGGGTTGAAACCCAGGATCCCAGCGTTCGAGCGAACGAAGACCGCGCCGTCACTGTGATCGGCACATTTAAAATTTACATGAAAATATTTTCGAAGAATATTGGCATGCACTGTCATATTAGTCTCTGTGTAACCATCAACTTGAAGTGTCTTCCATGAATGGCGCAACCTTCACGATTTTTTTTTTAATATCTAATTCATGTATTAAAAATTTAATTACATGTCCGCGGCTTCTTCCTCTTCGGCTATTGGACAGGACTGTTACTTCTTCCTGGAACAGATATGCAACTTCACCAGTTCCTGTACAAAATTCAAACGGCTACACTGCATGACAGAACACTGCTCACTCCGGCCCCATTAATTGG